GATAGATAGATAGATAGATAGATAGATAGATAGATAGATAGATATTGGTATATAGCGATTTAAATATACATAGATATAGATATTTAAATATAGATAGATATAGGTGGATATGGATAGATATATAGATACATAGAGATATAGAAATATAGATATAGATAGATATTTAAATATAGCTATAGATTATATGGCTATTATTGAATTTCCCTTCTGGGATGAATAAAGTATTTTTCATTTCTATACTGGAGACAAATAATGAATGTATCACTTTGAAGTGTTGCGAACAGGCAAAATTTAACGGTAGAAATCATGAAGTATTGGCTAAAACATTTCAGCTCAAAGCACAGTTTAAAAGCATTCATGTCTATACATATAGAGTCCGTTATTTTACCGTTTTTATAAATGTGTTCACGTTGCATGCTAAAGTTGGAGTAAAGAATGACGCCAAATTTACAATGAGCACTGATTAGCTCAACAACCTCACCACGTCTCCTCCTCCTCCTTCTCCTCCGCAGGTCCTGGCCATAAAAGGCAACGTTGAAGCTATCCCCATCATGCTCGTGGGAAACAAGAGCGACGAGACCCAGCGAGAGGTGGAGACCAAGGACGGGGAGGCCCAGGCCAACCAGTGGAAGTGCGCCTTCATGGAGACGTCGGCCAAAACCAACCACAACGTCACCGAGCTCTTCCAGGAGCTCCTCAACCTGGACAAGAAGAGGAACATGAGCCTCAACATCGACGGCAAGCGCTCCGGGAAGCAGTCCCGCGCAGAGAGACTGAAGGGCAAATGCAGCGTGATGTAAACACCCAGGAGAGGAGGAGATAGACGGCGGAGGTGGAGGCGAGAGAGAGAAGGGGTGAGGAAAAAGAGAAGGAAGAGACTCACTAAATGTATCACTCGGAGCAGGAATGTTTCGGAAGGCAACGGGAACCTCTTCATCCTCCTCCGTTTGACCGGTGCATTCATAAACTCGACTTACATACAGGAAAACATTTCAGTTCGGAGCATACATTCATGTGCATTTCTGCTAAAAGGAGGCGGAGAGCTTTGACAAACGGACTCATCCAAGTGCCACAAAACCTGGCCGAGGAGCTCATCAAGACTGCAAGCGGTCCTCGAAAAACCGCTGAAGGTTTCTGATCAGCGCGACACATTTTAATACCCTCTCTCACTTCTGCACCCTCCCTCCCTGCTCCCCAAACTCCCCTCATCTTTCACATACCCCATATTATACCAACTATAGACAATTGTAATGTATATGTAACAGAGTCAACAAAGTTAGCTAAGCTCACTCATCGGGTGGAGACACTATTGTAAGAGACTGAGGTGTCTGTCATGCTGGTAAGCACAGGACTCCAACATGAACGAGACAAGCCAAACGTATGACCCCGTCACATCCCAGAGCCAGGCCTCTGATGTACATAAACATGGGATATTTAAATGTATTCCATCTCATCTGCACTCCCTCGGCTCAGTCACTAGAGGAGAGTGACTCAAATTTGAAGCATTAAAGCTTAAATTTGTGGCTAAAGGACAAAATCGCCCATCTTCTCCACCTCATCATTCCACCTTAAAGATGAAAAAAAAAAAAAGACCCTTCTTTCCATTCATCACGCTGTTACGTTAACTCTGCGAATCCTCCTAAATGTCCTCATCTGACGCGGAGAAGCATCCGGCGGCAGGGTTTGCACACACGCAACAATCCTTTTAAGACTCTCATCAAGTGTCGAAAGACTGGATGAAAAGGAAGCTGGACATCGAAAACATGAAACAGAAAAGCAGAAAGTCTGCCTTGCCTAGGAGGATGATACACTTGGATAATCATTGCCAAGCCGGTAAGACGGAGAAAAAAAAAAGGGGGGATGGGGTTGGCTCGAGGTCGAGAATGTCAGTTTGCTTTGGCACTTTTCACATGAAAAGGTTTCTCTTTTTGCCTTTTTTTCTTTTTCTTGTATGTTTGCTTTATGATGCTCTTTAAATTCATGTAAAGTCAAAAAAAAGAAAACCCTCCTTAGACAAAAAGCACACGAGGGGAAGAAGAAGAAGGAGAAGAAAAAAA